ATTGGGGAATTGGGGAGATGGAAACAGTGCTCGGGAATTGGGGGAAGGGGAACAGACAAGTTGCTGTCCTTTTGTTCTTCAGTCTAGTTGTGGAGGACGTTGCCTCACTGGCCCAAGAGGGCAGTGTCACTGGCCCTCACATGTGAGATCCGAACCGGGGCCCTCTGGCGTCCCAAGCCAGTTCTTAACCACCGCGCCACTCGGCCGGCCCCCCTGGTCCTTCTTTCTTCCTTCACTTTGGCATCTAAAAAAGGGTGGGTGCTGCTCACCCTGGCATATGCAGCATCATCTGGGAATGTGGGTGTCAGGGAAGAAGAAGAAAACAGAATGGGCAGCCCCTGGCCTGTTCTGGGCCAGCCTGTGTGATTGTGTGCATTGGTGTGCACTTGGGGGCCGGGTGTGGCTTTGTGCAGCTGTCCTGGAGATGGCACCTGATCTGGTTGGGTGCTGGGCTTCCCCAGATAACACAGGGAGCTCAGTGTTAGTGGCTAGTGTGTACATAGTCGAGCACACGTAGAGGTTGGATTTTGCCCTTTCTCCCTTGTGAGCAGAAGAACGGGGCTTCTGGGGGGCCCAGGGACCCTGGGATTGGTTTGACGAGGAGAATCAGAATTGAGGATGTTTATCTGGAGACCCTTTCAGAAGCGGTTGGGACAGCTTTGGCTGAGGTGAGGGTGTCCGTGTGTTTGTGTTGGGTAGGGGAGAGATGGGGCAGGATGGCCAGTCTTCTGTGGTTACATCTTCTCTTCACTGCCTAGATGACAAAACTTGGCCCACCCTGGGGGTTTATCCTGGAGAAGGGGCAGTCAGCCTAGCACAGGCAGAATGGTGGGCCCAGCCTCCCCCAATTCCTCCATTCAGCCTCCCCACCCCTACACAGGAGCACATACCTTACCACCAGCCCTGACCTGCCCCACCTGCCACTTTAAATCTTGGAGGCTGCCTGCCCTGCTCCTCCCACCTTAACCAGGCTGCTTATCTGGGTCCTGAGGTAGGGGCGGGGGCACTAGCCCAGCCTCCTGGGTGCTGAGGCTCTGTTCCTGGTTTTTTTTTGCCATGGAACTGGACAAGCAACAGGAGTACAGCCGGGTAAGTGTTTGGGGGGCCATGGCCAAACTGTATATGGTGAGAGACAGATACCTGAGTTCGAGGGATCCTGGAGAACCATGGGAGTCTGGGGTGTTATGAATGGGAGAGGGGGACACAGTCCTGTAGTTTGATTGTGCTCCCGGCACTCCTCCCTCCGAGGCCCCTGAGTGGTATCTGGGTGGGCTGTGTGTGGCGAGGGGGGCGGAGTAAGTGGCAGGGCCACAAAGCACTCACATGGGCCTGGGTATTTAAGTGCTGGCAGCAGCCCACCCTCCCGGGAAGGAGCCAGGAACCAAGGTCTGCCTAAGAGTGAATTGAAGTTGAGGTGGAAACGAGGAGGACCATGTCCCAGGTCTGTCTGGCAGGGTGTATATATGCTGAGCACATCTTTGTGTGAACTGTGTCAGGTCCCTGTGGGCCCGTGGGTCTGTTTTCCAGCCCTGTGAGTCGATGCCAACCTGTCTGTATGCTAGACTGTGTTTATCTGTGTGAGTGTGCGTCAGTGTGCATTTGTGCACGTCAGGGCTGGTGTCTTTGTGTGTACCTGCCTGTTAATGCAGGCTTAGGGCACATGTTGTGTGCTTGTGTGTCAGTGCTGGCGTGTGTGGGTGTCTTTGTGTGCCCTTGTGTCGTGGATCTTCGTGTATCCGTGTCAGCATGTGAACACCTGAGTGTTTATCTGTGTCTCATTCTGGTCTTTAGTCTGCCTATCAGTGTGTGTTCCCATGTGTGTGGGCTCTGTCTCTGTATGTCATGAGGAAGCCCATCCTAGAAGAGAAAGGGAAAGGAAACAGGAAGATGGGAGGGGCTAGCCACGTGGGCAGGTAGCACTGCAGCCTTCTGGGGCACTCTCCTTCCCTCTGCCTCCTCAGACCTTGGGCTTGGGGCTCTCCTGACTTGATTCTGAGCCTCAAGCCCCTGGTCTCCTATTATAGTGCTCTCTCTTGACAGGACAGTGTGCCTGGCTGACTCTCGTACCACCAGGACCCTGCCTCCTCCCCCTCATGTCCTGCTCTGTCCACCCTTCCTAGGAACGCCAGCGCCTGGAGACCATCCTGAACCTGTGTGCCGAGTACAGCCGGGCTGACGGGGGACCTGAGGCTGGGGAGCTGCCCAGCATTGGGGAGGCCACGGCAGCATTGGCACTGGCAGGCCGGAGGTCCTCACGAGGCCTTTCAGGGGCCGTTGGGGCCTCTGGGCGGAGCAATGAAGAGCCTGGAGGTGCCACCCAACGCCTGTGGGAGAGCGTGGAACGCTCAGATGAGGAAAACCTCAAGGAGGAGTGCAGTAGCACTGAAAGCACCCAGCAGGAGGTGGGATGTGGGGAGGAGGGGCACTGCTCTCACAGTGAGGGGGCGGAGGGCAGCCCTGCGAAGAGGCAGAGGAGGCAGGCCTGTGGGGTAGAAGCCAAGGCCCAGTGAGGGGGAAGCAACTGAAAGATCAAGATAGGGAAGAAATCAGGGACTGGAGGTGTAGAAATGAGGCAAGGAAGAGAGAGAGGTGTTGATGAGTTTGCCAAGCTATAAATGTGCTTTATGACCTGCCTTTCCATCAGGGCCTAGTACTCAGCGGTGCATCTTTATTCCATTTAAATGAGCCCGTATTGCTCCCCATGCAGGGAGGGGAATCGGTCTTCTATCTCAGTCCACCTGCCCCTTCCAAGTGCCCTGAGGAATGGGGATCCGTTCTCTTAGTCTCATCCTGGAAGGCTCTATGCTTCCCCAGCTGACAGCTTCCCTCCCCTTCAGCATGAAGATGCGCCCAGCGCCAAGCTCCAGGGAGAGATGCTGGCCCTTGAAGAGGAGCGGGCTCAGGTGTTAGGACGAGTGGAGCAGCTCAAGGTCCGCGTGAAGGAGCTGGATCAGCAGCTGCAGGAGTCGGCCCGAGAGGTGAGCCGTGAAGGCCCTGGCTGGACGTTTCCCCAGGCAGAGTGAAACCCCCCAGTGTGGCCTGAGTCCAACTGCCTTGACTGACCTTGATGTGGACCCTGGTATTGCCCCCAGGCTGAAATGGAGCGGGCGCTGCTGCAGGGGGAGAGGGAGGCAGAGCGGGCACTGCTGCAGAAGGAGCAGAAGGCAGCGGACCAGCTGCAGGAGAAGCTGGTGACCTTGGAGACGGGCATCCAAAAGGAGAGGGACAAGGTAACCAACACCTGGCCTGGCTCAGTGCTGGGACCAGTGGGCTCGGAGAGGAGAAATGCCTTCTCTGGGGCCCCTTACCCCTTACCTCATCATCCATCCTGTAGACTGGGTGGTCTCAGTGCCCCTTCAGGGGCAGGGGCCTTGTCCTCTGTGGAAGGTACCAGCGTGGAGGGCACTACGGGCTGAGCTGGTGTCTGGGGTCTCCTCTGTCTGGGTCTCTGTGCTACTTCTGGGTGTGTGGGTGCCTGCCATTCTGGGCCCTTCATGGCCATTTTAGGAAGTACCAAAGCCCCTTCTTGGGAAGTGAGGGACTGGTGTTGGGGAGTGATTCAGGTTTGGGTCCCTCCATCTGGAAAATGTCTCCCTCCAAAGCATGCATCAGGTGCTCAGGACGTGGTCTTTGGGAGATGGCCCTCAGGTCTCTGCTTCCCCTGAGCCTTCTGGATCTGCAGCCTCCCATCTCAGATGGCCCCAGCTCCTGCCCCTGCCCCTTTCAGATTTCATGCCAGCCTGCAGGGGCAGCTCCGTCTCACAGGAGCCATGCCAGCCATGCCCAAGATGCCCAACAATGTGCCAAAAGCTCTGAAGTGGAGAGGGGCCATCTATTTCTGGACTAGACAGTATTTTTCCAAGAATTAATTTTCCTTCTGGATTTTTTTTGAGAGTGTTTTCCTCCTTCCTCTCAATTTTGAAGCTCTTAAAAATTCTTTGACACCCCCACGTTTTTTGAGCTTTGGCTCTGGCCCCCAAACCACACTCCCAAATTCTGTGCCAAATTAACTCCACGCTTACCAAACAGGCCTGCACTAATGTCCCCTCTAATCACTGTCCTGGGCTCTCCGCATGCCCCTAACTACCAGTGCCACCCAGGCAGGGCTGAGCCACGCCTGCTTTTGTACTAACTCCATGGGCACCTCTGTGCCCTTGGCCTCTCCCCTCTAATGCTGCTTTCTTCCTTTCTTGGTGTGGGACCCCAGGGTTTTGATCAGAAAGGAATGGGCAGGGGGCATAGCTCAACTTGACTCTATGGGGCGTTAGCAGGATGGGCACAAGGCTGGGGGAAATGCCTGGCTTAGGAGCTTCTCGGCGTGAAGAGCTCCTCCCATTTGGAAAAGCCTGGGTGCTGCTTCCACAGACTGTTGGAGGGAGTCGCCTGCTGTCCTCCACCCATCTGCCCACCTTCCTGTCAGTGTGGAGGGGTAAGGAGGTCCAGTTGGGATGTCATGGCTTGTGGAGGGCTGGGACAGAGACTCTCTGTCACACAGTGGCTACGCTTCCTAAGCTTCCCCTTGAGGCTTTCCAAATTCAGGTACCCCAAGCCGAGGGTGGAAATGGGTAGCCTCTCCCCTTCTTCCACCCCTGAGTTGTCCAGAACATAGGGTATTGTAAAGGCTGAATGCTGGGATCCCAGGAACTGGCCTGACAAGATCTTCCTCTCCAGGGTGTTAGGGTGGGTGGGAAAGGGTTCAGCATAGGGTCTTACTCCTGGATGAAGCTCAGCATTTCAGAAGGAACCTACCTAACTTCATTTCTCAGTGGCCTGGCATTGCCTGGAGGCGTGGGCTTGGTCTTCTCTCTGGGCCCAGTTATTCGAGGAGGAGGTGGTGGTGGTGGTGGTGGTCGTTGTCCTCCTCCGGCTCACTCAGCATCCCTCCCCAGCCCCCAGCCCATGGCCCCACTCTGGCTTTGGAATCAGTCGTCAGTTTTTCTTCTGCCTATCCTTAGGAGGGGTGACTCACGAGCTCCCCCCCCCCTTTCCTGCCCTTAGAGGTGTCATCTCACCCCAGACAGGGCCATCCACCTCCTCTCTGTATACACTCCTGGGGCTCCTATTACCATGGCAACGGCTGAACTAATTACAACCCTCATCCAGCTGAAGTTCAGCCTGCTATGCCAGCACCCCACCCCCACCCTGGGCAGGAGGGAGGGAGGCCA